AAAATAAAATAATATAAAATATATTGATTATATATGAGATATTTCCGTTTTTCCTTTTAAAAATCAATAATCCAATTTTTTTTTTGAAATCATTCAGAAATACAGAATTAATTCAATCACCCTAATAACTAGCACTTAACATAACCAATCGACAAGTAGAAAAATATTTAATTCGATTATTATTTTTCCTAACCATAATGCAATTTCAAATCTACAAACTATCCAAAAATAAAAAATAAAAGTTTAATTACATCGTAATAGTTTGATCGTTATAAATTCAAGATTTCATATATTTTGGTACCTCATTAACTACTAAATTAAAACTAAATAATAAGTGGATATATCAAATTTAAATAATCGTTATGTCTTATTAGCAATTTCTAAATAATAAATGGATTATATTTTTATGATTTAATTTCTATGTCTTTCTACGTCTTTTAAATAACATAAAAATTTTTACAGCCAAAGCATATACAGCCAAATTCTCTGCATCCAAAATTTTAAAGTTAAAGTCTTTACAGTTACAAGTAACAGTCGTTACCAATCGACCTCTTAATTTTATTAATTTGGAAGATTTTGTAAACTTTCTAATCACCACCGCGATCCACATACAAAAAATAAAAATAGTAACTGGCCGAATGCATACAGACCGGTTCTGTCCAATTAAAATAAATACAATGGATCCGATTTTGGCCTGCTGCACTTAGAAGAAAATAGAGTCGTTGCATTTTGGGTATAAATCCTTTGTAATTTTTTTAGGAAACGTATATATAAGAAGAAAATGTATAATACTAGAATAAAATAAAAAAACAAAGTTTCAACTTTAAAAACTAAATCCTAAACATTAACTTTACTACTACAAACTATACCATAAATTTAAAATAATTTACCTAACTAAACCAAAAAAAGTTTAAAATTTTTGAAAATCATTTTCTTTTTTGTGATATTTTTGGGAATTTTTTTTTTTTATAATTATTTTAGAATATGAAACTAATAATATTTGAGAAAAAAAAATACAATTTGAAAACATGGTATTTCGAAAAAGTTTCTAAAATTTGTATAGTTCTTAATATGTGTACATGACATTGTTCGGCTGTTAATAGAAGCATGAATAAAGTCTTTTAAAAAAAAATTGTTGTGCATCTTTGAGTGTAAGGCCATGTCCATTGGTAAACAATTAAGGATATTTTTAAATAAATATGAATAAAAAAAAGAACAAAATAATGACATGTGACAAATAATAAAGATCGATGTCTTTGAGACACCTTACATGTCACTATGGTATTGGTCAATAAGTATAATTTTCATTTTCATTTTTTTTTCTTTTTTGCCAGGATTTTCTCTCTCCAATTCTAGTATTAAATTTAATAATAAAATATGATTAACGACACTACTTAGAGCATCATTATGGGCATAACCCTTAAGACCAACATTATTGGTAGTATTTAAGGGGTATCTTAGGAGAAGATACCTTTCACAAACTATGTTGCACAAAATACTTTGTGAAGGATATCTTCTCGTAAGATACCCCTTAAATACTACCAATAATCTTGCCCTTAAGATGTAGCTTAGTGTTTTTTTAGTATATTAATAATGTAATAGTGTATGTTAAGAATCACAAAAAAATATGTAATTATTGGTTGAACTTGTAGGTTCTTAAATTTCTAATAATAAAATAATGTAAAACATATTAATAATATTTGTAATTAATTTAATAATTAAAAAAATGAAAATAATTAGTTGGTTTTAAGTATTATTTATTTTAAATATAATGTATGAAGATAAGAAATTATATAAAATCAAAACTAGATTGAATTTCATTTCATGTCCTAAATCAAAAATTTGGTAAGAAGCACAAAACCGTGTCCTCTATGTAATTGCATCATCAATCAATATATAGCTGCATTACAAGTGAATCAATCTAAATCAAATATCTCACTAATTACAAAACACTACTAGTAATTGTCTTTTCTTATTCCACCAAGAAGAAACATACGAAGAATATTCATTTCTTGTGTGTGTGTGTGTGTTTGGCTTCCTTGTCAATCCATTTTGTTTACTCTTCTTTCTCTTCTCTCTTTTTTCAATCCTTTGATGATATAGTCCGCCATTATAATCTCCCACGGAAGCTCCTACGAGAACACCTTGCTTCCACCACACAAAACCAGACTTTTCCTCTCAGAAGATATCGGAATACCAAACCCCATTTGCTCTGTGCTTTACAGCTTGTCTCTCTGTATGTCAAAGCATACTTCAACATGTTCCTCATGATTAGGACAAGGGGCAAACACTCCCTACACTTGTCTGGCGCAGAAGACGGCTTGTGGGACTGGACAGAAAAATACAAGTTTTTATAAGCAAGAAGGTAATCAAAGATACAGAAACACCATCAGCTTTATCCTACATTCCTCCTCTTGTATAAAAAGCAAAGAAACGATGATCTAGTTATTTGAGTTATTCGACTGATAGATTCCATAAGCAAAATTCTTGACATCAGAAGTATAACATAAGAGCTCGAAATTGTTATAGAAGATACAGTAAGTCAGTAACAATAGAAGAGACTCGTAGCAAAAACTTGAGATTTTCATTGGTTCGTCAATTTGGGAATTTTTTAGACAAGACTTTATTCTCTTATATCTTACCGATGAATTAAGAAGCTCTGGTTGGTTTATTAATCTCTCGTTCACCTCCAAGAGAGAGCCTTTAACGCAGCACCTAGTGAACAAAAACGCAGAACAAAAACAACTTAATCTTTCTCGGATTTGAGAAGTTACGACAAGGGAAAGTGAAACCAGAGAAAGCTTTGCACCTCACAATGTATGAATCTTTTGCAGTGGAAACTTTGCACAATGCGGTATTTGATTCAGAGCGCAACGCATTCTGCACAATAAGAGCATGTGGAAAAACACTAGGTAAAGCCATCTACACTCAATCAAAGAAAGTGAAGAGACAATTTCGAACTGCAGCTTCAAACAAGAAGCAAAGAGAAAGCCAACCTTTTTACGCTTACCGGAGACTTTCAAGACGCTACGATCAGACTTACCGACATTGAAATCGACGTTAGTGAAAATAACAAATATAAACATCAAAACACATAACATCTTTGCTCAGACTGATCAAATTACCCTAATTTAACACATATCAAAAACTCCTAATTACCCCCAAATCATATAATCCTAATTTCGATCTAACTAACCCATAATTTAACAAGAATTCCTAGGGTTATCAGATCAAGTTACCCTAGTTTTGGTTATAATCGTACCTTCAAATAATCGATTGGAGAATCCTTCACAATTTACTCCCAATTTTCGCTCCAAAACTCTTCACTTTTTCTCGCCCAAGCTAACTCAACGATCTCTGTTCACCGAAAAGATGATGATAACTCCGGCCAAGACTCGATTCGACGAAGAACATGATGATAACGCCGGCTACATACGGAATCGACGAAGAAGATGATGAGAAGAGAGATCAGGATAATCGCAGAGAGAAGAGAGAAAGAGAGAGTTTATTTCTCGAACGTGAAAGAGAATAAGACAAATAACTTTTTTTTTTTACTCAACAGTTACCAACCAATAACTCTTTGCCACGTATGCTTATGAACCGATTGTTAAACTCATTCAAAAACATCTTGAGATAACACCGAATGCTTTTTAACATTTCACTATTTTAATATTTTGGGCTTTCTTTATTCACATAAGATCCTTGGAGATATGCCCATAATGATGCCCTTATAATTAAGTCTTGACTTCAATAAAATAATTGTAAAGAAAGAGACAAAGGTCAAAACTTAGGTTTTGATTCGTTGCTGTTTTATAAAATTTCCAGAACCATATTTTGGTCCAAATCAAATTTTATAAATCTATATTTTTTTTTATTCACATATAATTTTTTTTTTAATTAATTCTTTGGCGGTACCAAACCATTTTTCCTAAAACACATATTTTTCAGCATTCCAAAAAGTTAATTTTTACAACCAAAATACTACAACAAGTCAGAGTCAAAAATTGTCCAGCTCTAAATATAAATAACAAAAAAATTTACAGCCGTAAGAAATCAAGCCCTTCAAGTGTTTTTCTTTTTTTTTTTGTAAACTGCTCTTCGGGCGTATGAGAAGTCATAATCGCACGTGTGAGGAACGAAAGTCCATAATCATCATTTATTTCATATAATTAACGGTATATTAATAATAAATCCACCGGGGTTCATGACTTCATGTGCCTGACATTAGCGAACCTCCTGATGGCAATGTGCATGACACGATAAAGTATCGTCTCCCTCTTCCCTCTTATATATAAAAATGCATATGTTGAACACGAATCTACCGACGTATTTATAGTCCTTGACATAACCTACACCTCACACACAAACGAAAAGTTTAAAGTCCTTTACTCCTTTCATAAAACTTCTCATTTCCCTTTTACTAGCACTGCAACACTTTCTCCAATTCAAATTTTCATACATAACTGGTAACGATGACAATTATCTCTTTAAGTCAAGCCCATAAAGTGTTCTTGAATTACCGGGGAGAGCAATTGCGCTATAGCTTCGTAAGCCACCTCATTGATGCCTTTGAAAGAACCAAGATCAACTTCTTCGTTGACAACTACGAGCAAAGAGGCAACGACCATAAAATCTCTTTGTAAGGATTGAAGAATCGAGGATCGCGTTGGCCATCTTCTCTACAAGGTTTGTTGTATTCTTTCACTCTCTTGACTATGAAATATCAGAGTAACCAGGAGATTCAAGAATCGTAATCACACTCGTCTTAAGTATATGTATGCGGAGTCGAGCTGGTGTATGGATGAGTTAGTGAAAATAAAGAAACTTGCAGATAAAGAAAAACTCCAAGTCATTCCAATCTTCTATATGGTGAAGGCAAGAGAAGTCAGAAATCAGACAGGTGAGTTTGGTGACAACTTCTGGATTATCGCGAAGTATTCTACTGGAGATCAGATCAAGAAATGGAAAGAAGCTCTCGAATGTATCGCTGACAAGATGGGTTTGTCATTGAGAGCCAAAAGGTGCTTTCCACTCACACTCATGACTCTTGTTCTACTTTGCTCAACACTTTCTCTTTAAGTCAAGGTGAAGAAGATTGTTGTGTCAAAAATTTTGAGGAAAAGAAATTGCATTTGCCCATATTAATTTCCCGTCTTTAAAAAGAGCAAAACCAAAAAGTTGTGAATTAGTTAATGTTCATTCTGGATAATGAATCTCAAGCAACTCCTTCCATGGTATTAATTAATTAAGCAACGCACTTATGTCATTTCATTGAGCTCATAGATTTTGTTTTCATATGTTGAAGCACTATAGTCTATAATTACTCCCAAAAGCTCTTGTATTGGACATAATAAAATGGAGATTGTGTTTCAAGAAAATTGAAGATAATTATAACATTTTTGGTAAGGATTTTGATACCAAAGTTTGTAGTCCGGTTCAAAATAAGTAATTATATGACACATAAGTGTGTGATATCAACAGTAAACACTCAAATACAAGATGCCGCATGATCCCTTGGCTACCAAATTTTTATTAGGCTAATTATCATCCCTAATGAGACAGGAAACCAACCTAACGTGTTGTGTACATATCCTCTCTTAGTCTCATAAAAATAATATTTTCTAAAAACGTAGCCTGCGTTAAACAGCAATAAAAAGAATAATAATTCAGTTTACCACATCTAATTTTCATGTTTTTGAGTTAAGTTTTGATATCACAATTTTTCAGAAAAGACAACTAAAAATTGTAAATCAGACATAATTCAACAACATTTTTACAGTTGTGTGAAAACAGTTTTGTGTTACCGTGTTTTATCACACAACTGTAAAAGAATATATGTATTTGTGTTACCATTAACATAAGTTTTTTTTTGTTGGGAAAGAGAATAAAACTTGTGATTTGCTGGACCTTTTGGTAGATAATTCTTAATTAAGTGTAAGAAGACAACAACTTCTTTGAAAGAAAGAAAAAAAGAAAAGAGAAGAAGAGAACAATATAAAACACTTAAAGTATACAAATCTTGCCGCGCGCCAACTAATCTACTTTAAACCTAGGATAGCCAATAAACTGATAGAAACAAAACTTTTGTCCAAGAAAGAAACAATACTGTTCAGCTATTCTCTTATCTGTCTGAACAAGGAACAAAAGATGCGAGTTACAGTTGTGTGAAAACAGTTTGAACATGTCCAGTGTGAAAAAAAACAGAATTGGCAAAAAAAAAAAAAAAAAGTTAGCAACCCCACTTAAAATATTTTATATATGGTTTATAAAAGCATGTTAGAAGGAAGACACGTGGTACTGAATAACCTTAGAACCCTAATTAACGATGTCAGTCTTCTCTCCCAATCAAGTGTTTTTGAATTATAGGGGAGAGGAACTGCGTTCAAGCTTCGTGAGCCACCTGATTGATGCATTTGAAAGGAATGAGGTAAACTTCTTCGTAGACAAACACGAGCTGAGAGGCAAAGACCTCAAAAATCTCTTTGTGAGGATTCAAGAGTCGAGGATCGCACTGGCCATCTTCTCCACGAGGTTCATAGGTTTTTTCACGCTCTATAAACCATAAGATTCAAAAAAATTCATCGTGCATTATCGTGTTAGGTATGCGGAGTCTCCGTGGTGTATGGATGAGTTGGTGACGATGAAGAAACTTGCGGATCAAGGAAAGCTCATAGTAATTCCAATCTTTTACAACGTAGAGCCAGAAGACGTAAAAAAACAGACAGGTGAGTTTGGTGACAGATTCTGGACTCTCGCTAAGTGTTCTACTGGCGATCAGATCAAGAAACGGAAAGAAGCTCTCGACTGTATCTCTGACAAAATGGGTTTGTCATTGGGAGAAAAAAGGTACATACACCTTAGCTTCTTCAAGTTCTTCTCCTTCTTTTTTATACCCTCGATCGAGTTAAAGCTATGGTTATATATGATGGATCTTTGATGGTAATGTATATAACTTTCTTCTTCTTCTTCTGGTTTTTTATTTTTGTTTTATGTTTTTGACAGCTCTGAAGCCGATTTTGTTAAGAAAATTGTTAAGGAGATTCAGAAAGTTACAGAAGCAATTGGAAAGGAAGAAGAAAAACATTTTAGAAAAGAAAAAGAGAAAGCTTGGGGATTGCCATTGCCAATACGATCGCGAATTTGAGAGGAGCAAAACCAAAAAGTGACATAGTATTTATTGAGAGATGGAGAGATTAATAAGAGATATCTCTAGACGGTCAAGATAATTAATTATCCAAAAATATGAAAAATCATGAAGATTTAGAAGCTATGGCTTAGGAAATGTATTTTCATCTCTAGATATATTATTTACATTAGTCTTTATTTTAATTTAGAAATTAAGTTTATTCTTATCTTTATATATATCAGTACATCATTCTCATGAGATTCTAACTACAATTCTTCCTAAATAATTTTGTATTCTTATTACCATCTATTTATCAATATATGTTCCATAATATATATTTTGGATATATACTTTTTTCCTAGATATGTGTATTTTTCAAGTATATTTTTATTTATTTATTGGCTCGATTGGTTAAGGGGTGCTACTGTATAAGGTTGTAAACTTGTAACGGTGAGATTTTTGGTTGTAGATTCATTTCGTAGCTCTACAATTTTGGTAGTGAAATTTCTAAAACAAAACCATCATTGGCAACACTAACAATTGTGTATATAGATTAATATTTGATTGTTCATGCATGTATTTGACAAAAAGAAAGTACGTATATATATACGTGGACAAAAATAGAAACATAAAATTTGGTAAAAACAATGAATAGCATCTACACGTGTGTAATTGTATGTGTGAAGGTACCGAAAGAAGAAATAACATACGTATAACCCTTTACGAATGATTCCTTTGCTCGTATCTTCTTCCTTTTGCTTAGCTTTTCAACATTAAATCAAGAAAACAATTAAAAGAAACAAAAAGAACATAAAAAGGTGAAAAATAAAGTAAAAAGAAAGATAGAAACGTATTTATTTTTCTCATTCCTATATATATTGTTAGCTAGCTTCTAAAGCTCATTGAACAAAACTGTAGGAATTATGTGCTCTACAGCAGATTCAAATTCTTTTTAAAAAAAAATTGGGCTGTAGTGTAGACTACTTAGAAATTGTTATTAGAGCATACATGCATTGGTAGATTATTCTTGCTGTAGAACAAAATAACTTCATTTTCTTGTTCCATCACCGACCTAACTGTACTGTATATTATAAACAAATATGGCACTAATGATTTTCGATAAGAGTTGTAACCCACACATCTTCATTTAGCCTACAAAAAAATAAAAATGATCAGATTTGTATAGAGATGTTAAAATAGGCCAAAAAGTTGCGGACTGGTCTTAGACCAATTCCAGACTATCACTATCCCTACATATGCATTCATACAAGTTTATTTTTACAATTTGTATTTAGAAAAATGAAGATGGATCTTGTTTGTACCTTCTTAGCATTAAAAACTATCAGAGTCGAATGAACTGAGAAGACTATTTTTCTTTGTAATTTTCAAGTTAAACACAGTCCAACTTCCGACATTGGGGTCTTAAGATTATTTCCATCCATTCCCTACATATATTTTTTCCCTTTTAATGTATTATGTATTATTAGCTTGGTCAGATTAATATTAGCTTTCCTTTATTTTTTTGCTAATAACATCATTTTTGCCTCCTTTTTACTCTTTTTTTGTTGTTGTTGAATATGTTGATCATCATGAACTAAGTTTAGGAATTGGGAAAAGATGATATAGTAACCGTGACTTTGCTTATGCTTCTTATTGTATATTTATTTTCAATTAAGTTTATGTGTATTAGTAATTCTTTTTCACTTTCTTGTTCTCTTCTTGTAATACAACATCATGTATTATGATACGGTGTGAAGAGGTTTACCACGTAAGAGAGCCAATCCAAAACCGTATTGATTAATTTACATGGGAGAATGAAAAATCTTGTGTTTTTGCTTCTTTGGCAAGAGAGCCAGTACATTTACCTCTTTCTTTATATCTCCGTGCTCACAAAATCTCTTCACAATATAGCCAAAAACAAAACAAAAAATATACTGTATGTAGTCGAAAAATTTGACTATGTCAAACTAACGAGTGAATTGACTGTACAAAAAGAGTGATAAGCCTATCCCATGACATTATTCTTGTAGACTTTGAACTATTTTAGACTTTTAACCATTTAAAATAAATAATAATTGTTGACTAAATAAAAAGTTTGAAAGATTATTTCACATGTATAATATGCTGTTTTATATTATAAAACTATTTTTACAATTTTTTAATATTTTTCAGTTCTTTATCAATAGTATTTGTCCAGAATTAAGGCTATTAGGTTTCTCAAAATTCAGAACCATTCATCGTACATATGACTGGAGTTGTCACTCGTAGAGAAATTGTATGTCACAAAACATTGTCTCTATTTAGGACACAAAATAACTTAATAAGAATTGCTTCAATGATACCCAAAATTATTGAATCGTGATGTCACTACTAGACACTTTATTTTTGTAGATGACGGCTTCGTATGACGTTGCCAACACACTTTGTTTCTGCCTTTTTGATGTAATTTTCCCGACAGTCATTCATAATGTTTCCCTACTTTTAATTCTTTTTAAAAGTGATTATTCGATAGCACCACTAGGGAATTTTGGACACATCGATAAATCCGTTTGTAGATTTGATTCTTTTTTTTTTGATAAAACATTTATCCATTCACACTACAAGAAAATATATCATCACATGTTTTTAGATTTAAGGTATATAGTTCTAAAATAACTGATACGTGTTACTATAGTTTTTTTTTCTTTCTACATATATATATTTTTGATATATGTTACCATGCCACGTGACATTCTCGTCAACAAAAGTCATTTGTAGTTGTTTCAAAGTCATAGAGAAGTAATAAAATAACTTTGTCGACGAACAGATCATAACCACACACACACACACACACACAAAAAAAAAATCACATGTTTACCAAAAAAAAAAAACCACAAAACTAAAATTTTTAGGATATTACTTCAAAATCGTACGTTAGGTTTCATGATGTTTCGATATATATTTGAGACGGTCTTTTAATTTATTTTCTTTTAAAGGAAAATATAATTATTTAGTTTTTGTTAAAGTAAAGCCATATAGAATCTAACTATGCAATTATATTCAGTTACTTTTACATTTATTCCATAATAATTTACATTTATTAGAAGAAGTTAGTGACCGATTCGAGTTCTTTTTTTAGACGTTCTTTTTTGTTCCTGTGTGTGCGGAGTTTGTTGATTATTATAAAGCAGGAGAAAACAAAAAACAACTAAAGTACTATGTAGCTTTTTTGGTAGGGTTTCGTAAGTGCGTAATTTTTTTTCTTTCAAAACCTGGCTTGAAAAGATCCACCAGATTTCTTGATCTTATTACGCTTTTTGTTTTACGGACGTAAGGATTTTGTTTTGAATGTATCTTAATCTTGAACATATATATCATACGGTTTTATGATGCCAATGATTTGTTTTTCAAATGTTTCGTTAACCAAAAAAAAAAAAAAAATTCTTTCGTTTGGATGATTATTTCATTTGGAAATTTTAATTTTAGAAGAAATCAAAATTTTCATCACTGATATGTTAACCTCTTTTTATTATATTTTTGATAGAATTATATGAAGAAATCAAAGTCTTATCATTTTCTCCCAATTTTCTTAAAGTTTCTCCCAAATAATAATAATAATCGAAATCCAAAATTATTTTGAAATTGAAGGCAAAGTCGCTAGGACATTTTATTTTTGTGTTTACAATTATTTATTAATTAAAAGAAACTAAAGGGATGACATGAAAATTATAAAAAAGAACAACCTCAAACTACATTAATGTTTTTTATGGCATATAAAGCTGTAGCCTGTAGGAATGATTTGGTAGTCCAGAAGATTAAACTGTACATTTAAAATTAGGAATGATCACCGTTCAAAGAAATCTAATAAGTCTCAGAACCTTTTTCCATTTTTTTTGAACTTTTTGTTAGCCAAAGAAAATTGAGATCGGCTCAAAAATTTAAAATCATATCTCGTTTTATACACGTATGAATGTTTAAAATCATATCTCGTTTCATCGAATCATTATATCCTTGAATAAAAATGGCCGTATAGAACGATGTTTTTAAGGATTCTTCAAACACTAGTAACGTGTTTATCTTTAATTAACCTTTAAAGTAGTTTTTCTATTATTACCTCTCTTTTTTTTTTATTTTTTTAACACGAAGCAGCCTTTGCTTTTGAACTGGAAACAAGGTACAACCCCTACTGTCAATCAAGTTTTTCAACTTCATGTTTCTTTCCTTATTCAGTGTTTACCAATTATAGGAAAAGAAAATTCATTGTTTTTGCCAAAAGTCACATTTCATTTGGTGAAATTGGATTTGATGAAACTCTGGATTTTTACTATTTTTGAGGGTTTAATATGTGTTTAGTTGAAGATTGTTTTTCTTCAAAATCCCTTCACGAAAAGATATTTCGCTGGTTAGGAAAAATCAAAATTCAATAAAAAGTGATTAATTAGTTCTTACTATGTCAGATGAGATTATGGTTAACGCGTTGTCTTTTAAAAAAGGAATTTATGAGCATCTTTTTTTGGGTCTAATAACCAAAAAAAAAAAATGATTGTGAAGGCTTTTACAAAAGGTTGATGAAGATAACAAAAAAAAAGTAATGAAGGCTTTCAGAGCCGTGTTAGGGTTTTTATATGTGCGGAAAGAAATGATTGATATTCGAATTACCTATAGTAAACATATTATAAAACTGTAGTTTAAATTTTTTAAGGTTTTATCATAAACCAAAACAAATATGCAAAAGTTATTTAAAATAAAATGTAAATTTATAGATACGAGGACGGAGTAGAGTACTATAGTCTACATAAGAAAATAAAATTTCAGGTGAACGCAAAAGAAAAAAAGAAACATAAACAATTGGCTATATACACAGTCGTACAAATAACAAATTATACGAATTACAGATTTTATTTTTAGTAATTTTTTTTTGACATACCAAACTTTTTGTATTTGTCAACAAAAATAATAAAAATATATATATATTTTTTTGTCATCAGAGGGCCTAAGATTGACTCAAACGAGCCAAGTCGAAAGGCAATGGTTTACAAACTTAACAAGATGCGGCATGGAACGCACTTGGCGTGCCAAATAGTCCGCTTTTACATTTAGAGATCTAGGAATGAGAGATAAGGAAAAGTTAGAGAATTCTTCTCTGTCTGTGATTATGTCTCTGTCTGTGATTATGTCATCCAAATAGACAGCGAAAGCCGGCCAATCTTGTGGTGAAGACACCATCTTCACCAAATCAGAGCAGTCGGTTAAGAACATCACGTCACGGAAGTTATGTCTAATCATACAGCGCATAGCCCACACCAGGGCCTCAACTTCAGCATGTAGGAGAGAGAGGCTTCGATATCGGTTAGAGGCTCCCATTGTTGATGTCGATTCCAGAGCAGACTGGCAAAACCAGCCTAGTCCTGCATACAAATCAGAATCCTTCCAAGATCCATCTATAAAACACCGGACTCCAAATGAAATAATAAAAATATATATATATATATTTTTTTGCTTACAAAATAAAATATATTTTTTTCAAAAAAAACTGCACAAAACCTCCATGTAATGTAAGTACTAAAGTGCGTAATTTGATACAACCCACCAGACCATTTGAATTGTTAAAAGGTGACTCTGACATTGGGCTTAGCAAATGCATATAATAAGTTCGTAAATTCTTTCGATGAATATGAAGCTGCTAAACATGTATCATATGTCGTCACAGACCCAAACAACAATCCTTAGAAATGAAATATATCGTACAAATACATCAAGCTAATTAAAATGAAATACACACAATTACTCAAAGGCCTATTTATAGCTCTCTAAATGGTCTTTTAGTCTTACCACAGAACAATCATCAGACACATGAGCAAATGGGTATGTGTGTGTGTGTGTATGTCTACTACTTAGATGAGTTTCTTCTTCTCAAAGAAAGTTTTCAAGTGCCAAAATTGTAGACCAGCCACCGATAAACAAACCCCAAACGACACGAAACTCAACCACGCCATCTTCGAGTTTGTGGATCTATTTAGTTCTTGCATTTCTTCTTCCCTGGTACCACCAAACCAAAACACAATAACAAGTATTAAGCTAAACCATCTCTTTCTTCAGACCCAACAAAAAACAATGGTAAAAAAAAAACATGTTTCTTCATTGTTTAATTTACCTTTCACGAAGATAATACATCTCCTCATGGATGGAATTAACCGTGTCCAGTAAGGTCTTAACCTCATTCTCCATCATCTACATTAACAGCATCAATGATCAAACACCAACTAGGTACAGCAAAACAATACTTAAACCTTAACTACAAGCTCTCTACACCAATCTCCTTTCATTTTCACATTCAAAACCAGACAAGCCCAAAACCATATGTAAAACTAATTGGATCTTGAACATAAAAAATGGCATACATGTTCAAAGTTCATCAACCTAATCACACACCAAAATAATATTTGAAACCAATACTATAAAGACCACTTACTAGAACTTGACTATGCTTAGCCACATTGGTCCATTCCTTAGAGTGAAGACCACTCTTCCAATCAAAATCAATGGTTAACGTCGTCTCAGGCGTATGATGAACGGCTGTGATGCACGTTATGTAACTCCCACTCTCATAAGCAGTAAACGAGAACTGACCAGCCTCTACATTATCGGCTTGGTGCAACTTCGTCCCTTTTGGTGGCAACACCTACAATATATATTAATCACAATATAAAAAAATAAAAAACTTCGATGTAAATATATATGCGATTGAGATTGAGGTGAAATCTATATAGACCTTGACGTCGATCTTGTGGGAAGCAGGAAGAGGATGACCTTCGTTAGGGTTTACGATGAAGTATTTGCCAACGGACATGGACTTTTCGTGAATATCCTCTCCGATGCACTTCGTGTGCGCAGACTTTATCTCGTAACGCATCGATAGTGCCATGGGAGATAATAACGCGATGATCAAAAGCAAAACCGAGCTTCGACGAAGATCCATGGCGGCACCAGAGAGAGAAGAGAGAGAGGAAAAAATCTTGGTAGTAGTCAATGTTTTGTTTTGCCGTTTCGGGTAAGTGCAGAGGGAGAGACAAAGAGAGTCAAAGGATGTTCTTTGCCTACGTGTGATTGTTTTATTGGTTAAGACACGTGAACAAAGGATGTTGTTTCATGGGCATTTAATGGGCTTTTGGTATGGACTAACTTATAATGGGCTTAATTTTGTAATGAACTTTTACTTAACCGCAGATATTGGGTTTAATACTAATTAATTTAGCTGATACAACTTTAGTATTTAAATTAAGTGAACATTTTCCATATGTCAGATGACGATTATTCCTGAAAATAATGAAATGATTAGCTTTTCTATGAAATAAATGGTAACTTATAAAATTAATAGAATGTAATTAACTAATTATGTACTAATAATCTGAAACTCACCAAGCTGTTGTGTTTAGTTCACACTCGATTGATTAATATTACATTATTCAAAATTTTAAAAGGTGCAGATATGATAATGAGCCCAGAGATAGTAGTGGAAGATTAAGACGAGATCAATCTGTTCGGATCTTCAAATTTTCTTTTCTCATAAACAAATTCTTGATTTTTAAAAAATACCCTCAATAATTTGAACCATCTTCTTCCCAAAAGTTGGTGTTTTTCTCGTGAGAAAATTTTCAATTTTCTCACGGGAAAAGAAACACAAACATAAAAAAACAAAACTTTTGTACGGTCGTATCTGTATTTTTTGTCCGCATCCCTTTTCCCACCGTTTCCCTCCTGGTGACCCTTTTGGGATCTCTCAGAAATTTTAGGTCTTCTCCGATAATGAAACGGCGATGAGTGTCGTCGTCGGAGACAGAGTAAGAAGATGGAAATTAGATCGGAGAGTACTCTGACGCGGAGTGACTATAATAAGCCTCCGTGTCCAGCAATTCCCAAAGCTCGGTTTCAAGTTTGGTTTTTTAGAGTGTGTTCTTGCATTTTGGTCTGGACTTGCTTGATTCAGCTCTTTTGGCATTCCCAAATCTTCACTGGTTTAACCAATCAGATTTCTAGGTTCTCTCTCCCTGTTGAGCCAGTTCGATTACCTCTTCCAAGTTCGTGTTCTTCAATCCATTTGTGTGATTTGGGTTTGTTTTGCTGCTTGAGAGATTAAGTACAGTTTGAATTTTTCTTTTATAGGGAATTATACAAGTAATGGAATTTTACTAGTGTCCTGTAATGGTGGTTTGAATCAGATGCGTGCAGCGGTTCGTGTAACTCTCTCTCTCTCATTGCTCTCTTAGGGTTTTCAAAATCTTGATGCTTGTTTTGTTTCTTGTCAGATTTGTGATATGGTGACTGTTGCTAGGCTATTGAATTTGACTCTTGTTGTTCCTGAGCTTGATAAAAAATCTTTCTGGGCTGATCCAAGGTACATGTTTGTTTTGCGATTTCAAGAAGTCTCATATTGTCAATGTTGTAATGCTAAACAGTTTTGAGCTAAAAGTATTCTCTTTTTTTGCAGTGACTTTGAAGACATTTTTGATATAAAGCATTTCATTGATTCATTAAGAGATGAAGTTAGGATCATAAGGAGACTTCCAAAACGTTATAGCAAGAAGTATGGACATAAAATATTCGAAATGCAGCCTGTGAGCTGGTCCAACGACAAATATTACTTGGAACAGGTTTGTTTGCAAGTTCCTTGGATGTTTTATTTTACCATAAGAGGAATCTGAAATGCTTATGATCTGCGTCTTGATTGTTCTGATTTTTTGTTTCAGGTACTGCCGCGATTCAGTAAACGTAAAGTTATACATTTTGTTAGGAGTGATACGCGATTGGCGAACAATGGTCTTTCTCTTGATCTTCAAATGCTGAGATGCCAAGTTAATTTTCAAGGACTGAAATTCACTCCCCGAATTGAGGCTTTGGGATCAAAGTTAGTTCGGATTCTTCAACGAAGAGGGTCTTTTGTGGCTTTGCATCTTAGATATGAGATGGATATGTTGGCTTTCTCTGGTTGCACTCATGGCTGCACCGAGGAAGAAGCTGAAGAACTCAAAAAGATGAGGTAAGACTATCATTAGCTTGATGCCCTCGGTCTGCATATCTTTTTATAAAATCTTGATTTCTGGTTCTCTTTTGTGCTGTAGGTATGCATATCCATGGTGGAGAGAGAAAGAGATAGTCTCAGAAGAAAGGAGAGTGCAAGGGCTGTGTCCATTGACACCCGAGGAGGTGGTTTTGGTCCTTAAAGCATTGGGGTTTCGAAAGGATACACAAATATACATTGCAGCTGGTGAGATTTATGGTGGTGCAAAGAGATTAGCTCGTCTAAAGGAATCATTTCCACGAATTGTAAGTTCTAGCACTCTCAATATTATACACTATCGAAATGATCAAATTTTGGTGATGATGGTGACATGTTGATTTTCAGGTAAAGAAGGAAATGTTATTAGATCCAACAGAATTGCAACAGTTTCAGAACCATTCGTCTCAAATGGCAGCTTTAGATTTCATAGTATCGGTAGCTAGCGACACTTTTATTCCTACCTACTATGGGAATATGGCCAAAGTTGTTGAAGGTCATCGAAGGTAATTCTATAATCTAATATCCAATTCAAGCTAATTCTCAGCACGATTAATGAAACGAACATTCTTTTGGCAGATATCTCGGGTTTAAGAGAACAATCCTTCTAGACCGGAAGAGACTTGTGGAGCTTTTGGACTTGTATAACAACAAAACGCTCCCTTGGGATCAGTTTGCAGTAGCTGTCAAGGAAGCTCACCAAGGACAAAGGATGGGTGAACCAACACATAGGAAAGTTATCTCTGATAGACCAAAGGAAGAAGATTATTTCTACGCCAATCCTCAAGAATGTATTCAGTGAAAACTGAAAATGATATAGATCACTAACCACTAGAGCAGGATATGATTAGTTCTCACCTCTTAGTTTTCCTTTTCTTTCTTTTTTTTAAGTCCTGTTTCGGTTTTTGTAAAGTGAGAGATGCAATTAAACAGAAGGTTGCGTCATCTTTGTACCAAGAATTGGTATGATATTCAAATCTGGAGTTAAATTATAACTTTGTTTTCAAGATGATGATTTTGCTTTGCTAGCTAAACAAACCAAAATACATATCTATCAATTACTAGTTTGTGTACTCAGAGGCACTGAGATACTCGCCATGCTCCTCAAAGTATTCTATCATGCGTTTGAGAAACGCATCACTGCTCACTGTCTCTGTGTCGCAGATGACACAACACTGTCTTCTAGAACGAGTAACGGCCACATTCATTCGCCTTTGGTCCTTTAAAAATCCAACCTCTTTCTTCGAGTTTGATCGAACCATGGAAATGATGATAGCTTCTTTCTCTCGACCTTGGAAACCATCCACCGTTGAAATCTCCATGTCCTTTAGCTTCTCCTCTTTGGCCCTAAGAATCCTAAGCACCATAACTTGAGCAGCGTAAGGCGTAATAATTCCAATATCCGAAGGATGAACTCCACTCTCTATTAGTCTCTTGGCATGTGCCATTGCAACCTCTGCTTCACCTTCATTATAGGTGCTCTCTTCCTCATCTTTCTTCTCTTCCATGTCACACCCAGCTGTATCCACTATTAGTAGAGTCGCCTCTGTTGAAGAAGATTTTGCTACATTCTCCAGGTCAAAAAGCATGTGTGAGGCAACACTTGAATGCGCAGTAATCTTATTATCATAAAGCTCTTCCGATGACCAATTCATGATTAGCTCATGCATACGATACTGGACAGTAAGCATGGACTTGATCTCATCTCCATAAAGATCTGCCAGCCGTTCAAAGAGTGTTATCCCTAATCCTTTCCTTTCAGCTTCAGCGCTTTGAATTGTCGGCGGGAGTTGGAGATGGTCTCCTGCAAGTATACACCTTGAACCCTTTAGCAGAGCTATCCAGCAGGCTACCTCAAGAGCCTGTGCTCCTTCATCGATGATCACCAAGTCAAAAGTTTTATTGTCAAGCTTTCTTGTTAATGCACCAGTCAAAGTTGTGAGAATGACATCAGCATTCTTGATCACATCAGATACAGCTAATTGCTGTCTTTTACGCTCTTCCTTACCCAGAGTTCGAAGCTCTTTCTGGATTTCTCTCCTTGTGTTTTTATCTTTCGCTTTCAACAACTTCCCGTTAAGTGCCTTCATTTCCTTTCTGATGTCATTCGCAAGACCGCTGTTATCTCCCTTTAAAACCAGAGCATCTAGAGCACTATCCAGCACTTGAGGTAAAAGCCGTGCAGGATGTCCCACCCTCACCAGCTTAACTTTATGAGGAACAAGTCTCTCAACAATGTTATCGACTGCAATATTCGAAGCTGCACAAGCAAGAATCTTTGAACCACGTTTGACTTCTTGTAAGATTATTTCCACCACTGTCGTTGTCTTACCAGTACCAGGAGGACCATGCAGTAAAAACACATCCTTTGAAGATAAAGCCTTTGTAATCGCATCTTTCTGCGATTGATCAAGGTTCTTGTTAAAAGGCGTAAAGGACTTAACATCCTTCTTAGACACTGTTGGTTGTCTCTCACCAAACAAGACAGGCACTAAATCAGAAGCAGGTCCTCTTAACACACCTTTGCTAAGCTGAATCAAAGTATCTTTCATTCTGCGATACGTCACCTCATTCGCAAGTTTCTCCAATCGAAGAGAAGTGTTCAACCCTTCTTCAGGAACCTCCTCAAAGACAACAGTAATCGAAGAATCCTTTAACCGATAAACCACTCCTTGCGCAAGAGGAGAAGAGCCAAGATCAGATTTGTTCAGTTTCAACACAACAACATCATGGTTACCAAACTTGTGAGCAGGAAGCACATCTCCTTTGTTTGATTGGAACTCAATAAGAGATTTACCCATGAGACCTGTTTGAACATCAACACATTTCAAATTGAGAATCGTTGTGCCTTTCTTCTGAGCAGTCTCAATGTTTCTCGAAGCACCAGTAGTTAAAGACATCGAAATCTCAGCTTCTTTCTCCATATCTATAAGTGGAGCCATTGTTGACACAAAAGCTTCAAGAGACATCGCAGATCCTTGCTTCTTCGACATTTGCAAGCGTTAAATTCTCTGAAATTAAAAAACAAAAACAAAATTGCCATTGTAATGAGTTTAGTAAACATTTGAGAGATACTATACAAAACCTAATCAACCTACAAGAATCATCCAGAAACTAAATTACGAAACCGATTAAATAAAATTCAGAGAATCACAAACGAAACCAAATTAACAAGAATCTATATAGCCGGAGCGAAAAAATGAGGCCGTAAGGGTATTACCTACAAAGAAGCGTGATTCTTTCTTCACCGTTGTGTTCTTCTCTGCGTGATTAAACCCTCGAGATCACCGAGGAGGAAGACGAAGTGAGACTGGTTGTTGAAATTGGAAGATTTGGGAGCGTTAAACTAGAAAATGGTAAAGAGCACGCATCTCTCTCTTCGAAACAACAACACTCAAGCCCTACTTTATACTGGGCTTAGATTTTATAACGTAAGTGGGCTATAGCGTTTCGTTTTAGGTCCATTATTTTATATTTAGGTTTTCGACTTATCACTTATGGTGTCATTTTTTTTTTTTAAAGAGTGTCATTTTAATTGAAGCAAAATAATATACTTGTCACTTATTAGCCCTGGGCACGAAGCGAATATTGGGAAAATTTGTGATTTGTGATTTACTTCACCTTAACCGAATAGTTGATTTTGCTATTTGCTTCGATTCGTAAATTTTCGAGTATTCGGAACTTCGGATATTCGAATATTTTTCGTAATATTTGCGAATTACTTGTTTTGCTTCACTTCGACCCATCTAATTTTTCTTTAAAACTAAAAACATATATTACATAAATATAAAGTGCAAAATATGAGATATTAGAGATTCTTGTTTGACATGTTTTCAAAATAAAACGAAAATGTAATTACCTTCCATAGAAATCTCACATTTTATTTTTAATATTAATTTTTCTAATAAAATTTTATTTGTTTAAAAACAACATTTAGCATAAAAACCCAAAGTACCAAAATATAATAATTTAGAAAGAACAAAAAAATATATTTTCTCTCTTCTACTCATAAAGGAAAGTACCTTTTCCTCTGTTACTATAAATATATTTGTACGGACATCATTTCGTTGCACGACTATTTTATTTGAGCTTGACCTTGACTCGTCCACAGACCACAATAATTTTGATTGTTGTATTATTATATTTGTGACGACTTTGTTACAATGGTAATGGTAAACTGCATACGTATGTAGATGTATATTGATAGATTCACAAATCAAATATATATTACAGTATTTTGACTATTTTTTTCGTTATTTTTGGAAACTTATTTTCTATCGTTATCGACACATAGCATTGATCAATGACTTGGTAAACCGTATATGTAATTCAAATTGTGACAGTTTAACAATAATGAGCTTAAATTAGTATTAAAATGGTTATTAAGAAAACTAATGTAAAAAATGGTGAAAGACGAGTAACTTTAATAATCTAAACGTCTAAAATATGTAAGTCTATATTTTAAAAAATAGAATAAAAATTAATATCAATGGTGTAAGAACAAATAGTAATTAGTACTTATGTGGGAAATATCCCAATTTGTCGAATCAAGGGAAAACTTTAACATTGTCAATGGAACACAATGGCGACTGGTATATATACCTGAATGGTAGTGTTTGATTTGTGTAATCATTTACCCCGATTTAACTATGTCATAAGAAAATTTATAACATTTTCAATTTTATAATATAAGTTTGGTAGAACTTCATTATTTATGTTTGTCAAGCAACTGGATTGAAACCTTGAATAATTATATCATGGATCATTTAATTCCACATGGCCGATAAATTTTCTCTACTCGTAATCTGTATTTGACTATTGCATCACTCGAGCGACAATCTACAAGTGGCTCAATGTCTTGTGAAATAATGTTTTTTACTAGTATATATATTTTTTTTAAATGACACTTGTAATATACTAGTGTCTTTTATGTAACAATAAGATAAATTTATTTTGGCTCCACAAATATTTTCGACTCGGTCGTGTTTTCCAACTAACAATATTTTTTTAAAAAAACTTTGTATACAATTGGTCATTAGTCATAACACTTGCTTTCTTGTTCTGTATATATATAAAACAAGAAAGCAAGAAGAAGAAGAAAGATATCAAAACAAGAAGTAATTAAGATCATGAAGTTCGGTAAAGAATTGTCGTCGCAAATGGTACCAGAGTGGCAACAAGCTTACATAAGCTACGATTATCTCAAAACCCTTCTCAAAGAAATCATCAAACTCAAACACAAAACCAGCCCACCTCCTCCTCCTCCACATCATTCCGGTGAAGGACTTAGCCGTAAAATGACTCTATATCGAGCATTTAGCGGTCTTGTCCAAACGCCGGGAAAGAAAAGACAAAGCTCCGGTCAAGCCAACTATTCTTCAGAAACTGACATCGAAGAAGGTAAAATCTTAATTTAAGTTTCATAGGTTTCTAACTTAAAAGCTAACTAGTAAAGTGGAGTACTAGTTCATGTTTTTCTAATGTATTATATATTGTCATAACTTTGTTTTCATTTTACTCCTAATAGGTAAGGCTCCGATACTTGTAAACAAAGCAACGCATGGACTAGAGACAACGTTTCTAATGACGGCAGAGGAAGGAGGAGAGTATGAATTGGTCTTTTTCCGACGACTCGATGATGAGTTCAATAGAATTGAGAAATTCTATAAAGAGAAAGTGGAAGAAGTGTTGAAAGATGCAGTTATGCTTAATAAGCAAATGGATGCTCTTATTGCGTTTAGGGTTAAAGTGGAGAATCCTGTTGGGTGGGGATGGGAGGAACGGACGGTGGAGATGACTCGTTTGGCCTCAGATGTCGCGACTTCGACGGCAGCGATCGCTGCTTCTACACCGGCTAGAACTCGAACCAGTAAGATAATCAATGCAACTAGTTCTGTATTGTTTCTCAACATGCAGTAAATATTTGAATAACACTTTTTCAAAAAAATGAGTTATTGTTGTGAATTTTTTTTTTTAAAATTGAGTAATTATGAAAGAATACAACATAAAAAATAGAAATATATCAACTAAAGACGAATGATAAATCAAATATTTAGATAAATTTCTAGTTAGTAGTAAGTTGTAACTATTTGTATGTAATTATATATTTTTAAAAATATATATTGCAATGTATGTTTGGAATTTTTTTTTAAATTCGAATTTAATTGGTTTTTAAAATTTAACAGAAAAAAATGAGGAACTGAAAAATCAGGAATGTGTCTTTAAATCAATTAATACAGATTAATCAGCTAAACATTAAGGCAAATGTAATAAAAATATTTAGAAATGATACGTATTAAACTCAAATTACTTATTTCTAAAACTAATCGAACCGTTTAATTTAATATTGATCTCACTTATATAATATGAAATCCGGTTTATTTAATTTTCGCTTTAATTAGATTTTATCGTAAACCGAATCAGCCAATTTGAAATTTGATGAATTTATACATCTCCCTCGCGTTTGGTTACAGTGAAGCCTCGAGCTCAAGCTCACATGGAGGCAATTCAAGAAGGAAGCTTCAGCAGAGACGACGAAGATGAAGATCATGGCTCCGCCGACGTGAAAACAAGCAGCTTGAATCAGATGAGAGGTGCGAGGCCAGCACCAATAGAGGTTCTAGATCACATCAAGATCAACAACACTAAAGCAACGCCTCGATCCACCATTAAAGGCGTTCTCAATTCCTCAAGCCAAAACGAGATCAAATTCAATAGACATAATCTCAACGAAGTCGAAGAGAAGCTCAAATTCGCCTTCGTCGAGTTTTACCAGAAGCTTCGTCTCCTCAAAAGCTACAGTTTTCTGAATGTTTTGGCCTTCTCGAAGATATTGAAGAAGTATGATAAGGTAAAGATCGGTTTGAAGTTGAAATTGAGATTGAGATTTTGATTTGGGGATATTTGAAGTATGACTGAAAGGTGTTCGACGAAATTACTCTGAAACAGATAACTTCAAGGCATGCTTCAAAGTCTTACATGAACATGGTTGATAATTCATACCTCGGAAGCTCTGATGAGGTGAGCTTGACTAGTTTAGTAAAATCCATTGATTCCTCTGTTTTTGATCCTTGTATTGATCTTCTCTTATATCCATCCATCAGCTTGTGAAACTCATACATCGTGTTGAAGCTACGTTCATAAAGCATTTTGCAAATGGTAATAGGAGAAAAGGAATGAACATTTTACGACCTCAAATGAAAAGAGAGAGACACCGAGTTACATTTTCCACTGGTACAATCATATATATATACAGTACCTCGCTCTGGTTTGATGTTGTTCAATGTTTGTTTTTCGTGCTTACGAGGAATTTTGGTTTCAGGTTTCACTGCTGGATGTGTGTTTTCTCTTATCGTGGCGCTTGTCACCATTATACGCACCCGGAAAACCTCTTCAAATGAAAGCTACGAAGATTACATGAATACTTTGTTCCCTCTTTATAGGTAAACCTTACTTTCACTCTTCTACTGCAAATTTCATTTTGAGGTTAAGATTTTTCTTAGACGTATCCGTTGTTCCTGCAGCTTGTTTGGGTTCATTGTGCTACACATAACTATGTATGCGATTGATATATACTATTGGAAGCATTATCGGGTAAATTATGCATTCATATTTGGGTACAAGCAAGGAACTGAACTTGGTTACCGACAAGTTCTACTTTTGGCATTTACCATTGGAACGTTTGCGTTGCTTTGTGTTCTCGGAAATCTTGATATGCAAGTACACTCCAAAACCCTAGATTACCAAGGATTTACTGAACTTCTTCCTTTTTTCCTTCTTGTTGTAAGTCCGTATATCCAAGTTTATAGGTTTTTTTTTAATGCATTCTCAGGTATATGATGACCCTAACTCTATATGATGTTTGTTTTAGGCTCTGTTTGTAGTTTTAATCTTGCCATTCCATTTTCTCTACCGCTCGAGTCGGTTCTTCTTCCTCACATGTCTGTTTCACTGCCTTGCTGCTCCTCTTTACAAGGTGAAAGACATAAACTTAACGGCTTATTAATTTTGATAATAATATGCTTACTAATGCTTTCTCAATGCAGGTAACGTTACCTGATTACTTTTTAGGAGATCAGCTAACTAGCCAAGTACAAGCTCTTCGAAGCATCAACTTCTACATATGCTACTACGGTTGGGGAGACTTCACCAAAAGAAAAAGCACATGCGAAGAGTTTAACATCTACAACTATTCCTTATACATTGTTGCAGTAATCCCATATCTTTCCCGCCTCCTTCAGGTAAGAAAATATTTCTTCAAAAGACACATATCTAGAGCAATTCTATAATATTATCCCTGTTGTTTAATTGGTGCAGTGTATGCGACGGATGATTGAGGAAAAGAGCCTTGATCAAGGATACAACGGAGTCAAGTACTTTTTGACAATAATAGCTGTTTGTCTAAGAACAGCTTATGTTTTTGAAGGAAAAAACTTGGTGGATCCTAAAGTGAAGATTAATCCTATATTGAAGAATCCTACATTACATTTCAAACTCAGAGTGTTAGCTGGTGCTTTCTCAGTTCTTGCTGCTGTTTTCTGTACATACTGGGACTTTGTTCATGATTGGGGCCTTCTGAACAAAAATTCCAAAAACCGATGGCTTCGCGATAAACTTCTCATCCCACAGAAAAAAGTATACTTCATCGCAATGGTAAGCGCATATAAAACATCTTTGCTTATATAATCTCCAAAGCATAGAGAAACAACTGAATTTTCTTAAAAATAAACTGCAGATCTTGAACGTTGTGTTGAGATTCGCGTGGTTGCAAACAGTACTGAATTTCGAATTCAAGTTCTTGCATAAGCAAACGACGCTTGCGGTTATGGCTTGTCTTGAGATTATTCGCCGTGGGATGTGGAATTTCTTCAGGTCTACTTACTTACTATACACATTGTTACTTTGGTTTCTTCTTCACCATTTTGATATCATTGGTTTTGAAAGTTTCCTTCTTTACAAAACAGGGTAGAAAATGAGCATTTGAATAATGTGGGGAAGTTCCGAGCGTTCAAGTCAGTTCCATTACCATTCAACTACGACGAAGACGATGAAAAAGACGACTAAACGTTTACAGAAGTTAAAAGACTTTCTTATACATCATGTCAACATAAAACTGAAGTTTGTATCTTCACTAACGAAAATGTAACACTTTTACTAACAAAACATTGCAGTTCATTCCGAGTTTAATTATGGTAAGTAGGCCTTTCTGTGATATTCCAATAAGCTTAAGTCATGGCAGGTCTTATGGATCAGTCAACATAAATTGCGAGATATTTCTTAAAACGATAAAAATTCCTTATAATATATAATTATATTAAGTGAGCATCATAAGATAAATGAAAAAGAACAATAATTTGTAAAATATTACTTCTAATATCATTCATTTATTATATTATAAAAATCTTTCATAAATTGGATTAAAACTTTGATGTTAAAATTTTGCTATTCATTACAATAGTTTGTAGACCAAATTAATTTTAATTTTTAAACTCCTTTCAAAATATCATAAACCTAGTATTACTTTTAAAAGTACCTAATAAAAATTTATAATAAACAAAAATAATATATAATATATACTTAAAACAATGAAAAAACATTGTCTTTCGGATAATATAATTCGTTTAAAAGTAGCAAACCTAATTGCACTTTCTAAAAGTAAAACCTAAAGCAACATTAACTTTAAAAACCGTTAAAAAAGATATTGGCATTAAAAGTCGATTCCGAATGATTCGATCAAAGATTGTGGAAATAGTCAATTATGAGCAGATTCCAAGTAAATTTTTGTGTGGAAATGGTAAGTATGATGAAAATCTTATCTACATACGTATTATATATTGATGAAGTGGTAATTTTCACCGTAAAATTTTGTGTAAATCAATGATGTATGAACTAACACAACTAATATTATGTTTTAAATAAAATGTTGCGTACCATTTACATATGATTTTAGTGAGAAAGCTTCAGTCTACAAAATAATTCACAAAAAATTACTTAAGAAAATCTCTTAGTTAGTGAAAAATCTTTAAACAAAATTATTAATAACAAGAACATATAATTATTTCCGACTGTCATTATAGGCAGAAAATCGTCGGTAACACAAATTTCAAGCTATTTCATTTTTCAAAATCTTTTGTATCATAAGAAAAATGAAAACATTAATTAGTAAAATATGATTTCAAATATCATTCATTTTTATTATATTAACATTATATTTTTTTGACAAAATTGGATAAAAGATTTGATGTTATATATATTATATATTCCAATACATAGTTTGTGGACCAATTTAGTGCAAAGCACTCTTTTTAAAATATCCTAAACCTAATAACACTTTTCAAAAGTACCTAATAACACTTTGTGATCTACTTACAACAATGAAAAACATCGTCTTTCAGATAATAAACTCTTCAAAAAAGTAACAAACCTAATTGCACTTTCTAAAAGTACATAAACCTAATAACAACAATTTGTAAGAGAGAGCACCTAAACAATGTTTTAAGTTCTGATAACCGATGTTTTTAATATGACTTTTTATATTTTTATTCGCATAGAGACTTGATGTTGTCATTTAACTCATTTTCCCCACTATACACTATCATTTCATTATTTTTTCTAAATCTTTATAATTAGTTTTCTAATTTAGCTAATTTGACTGATCAACTCTTTAACAATCAACTAGAGGATGGCCCGTGCTTTCGCACGGATGATGTTTTTTAAAGTAAAGATATAATTGGATTTGTATTAATATTTGGTATTCAATAGTATAGGATAAACATAATAGTCTTGTATATTTTAATTTTAATTCTATAAAGTTAAATCGCGTGTTGATTTGTATATTTTAACTGTATATAAATTAAATAATATATACAATAGTAATTAGGTCTGGTTTTAATATAAGTACGTATATATTATATTTTCCCTAAAACCGTTAAATTTATCAATCACGGACATTACCTCAACGGTGTATAAGAAAATGCAATCTTTTAATATAATTTACAAAAATTGTATATCGGTTGAAAGATAACATAAGTGATATATAATAATTTCATAAATTTGGATAATCTATTTATGAATACCTTATGAATAAAATTTAACTATTAGCAAAAGTATATGATAAACTAATCTGCTAAAATGTTAACAAAAAAGGAAAATATGATAAATATGGTAATTGTAAACAATTTTAATATAAAATTTAATCTTTAATCTACTTGAAATAAGGTAAATTAAATGTTTTAAGTTTAATAATGTACGAAATATTTAAATTTAGAAATATTAATGAAAAACATAAAAAACTGAGATTTTTCACCTAAACTATTTCCTTAATTGAAAATTATAATACCTATTAAATCTTTTAGATATTCGAAAATAAGATTTAATTCCAAGACCTGTTTTAAGAGATGACCAGAATATCTTTCAAAGTAATGCTATTTTAATATTTTAAAATTTAGTTTAAATTAATTAAATGCTTACCAAAATTAAATTTATTATCATTTTATCTAAAATCAGTTAGTAAAAGAGGTAATATTAGTTGAAATTTATTTCCTTCCTTTTTTCGTTTCTGAAAATGATTTTTTCTTATAAGTTTTTAAAGAAAAA